GGGCGCCGCACGCCGCCGAGCTCCCGTTCCCGGCTCCTCCCGCCCGCCGGACCCTCGGCGGACACGCGCCCGGCCGCGCCGTGCTCTGCTCCCGCAGCCCCAGGTGACCGCCGCGCTCAGCGCACAGATGGGAGGCGGAGGCTCCGCGCCCGCCGCTCTTAAAGAGACGCCCCCACGCGCACGCTCCTCCTGCCGCCCGCGCTCCGGACTCCGCGGCCACCGCGTGGGTGCGCTTCTAGGGTGCCGGCGTGGGTAGGGCCAGCTCCGCTGTGGAAGTGAAGCAAATCTGGCTTAGTGAGGTCAGGGTCTCTGTTGCTTTCTGGAAACTCTGTCTGACACTACAGTGTTTTCAGAATCTACCTCCAGATCCGTGTGCACGCAGCACAGCAGGAACAGTAAGACTAGGAGAGGGGCTCGGATAAGAAAAGAGATTTGTTTAAGTTCTTTTTAAAATTATATTTGGTTGCTGCATGGTCTCACTACGCAGCTCAGACTAGTGGTGATCCTCCTGCCTTTAGCCTCGCCAGTGCTGGGATTACAGGCCAGCGCCATCCTGCCCCACTCTGGCAGGCTCAGCCCGCCCTGGGGGCAGGGCTGGCGCCCCACGTGGTGCCAGGGCTCTAATGTGCTTGCCTAAGCTTATCTAAGCTATTTCGCTGGCCCTTGCTAAAGTGTTATTGTGGTCCGGAAACTGTACAGGAAGAACTCAGCCCTGAACCTTTAGAATCAGAGCTCAGCACTCCCTATCTTGGGCAGCTCTCTCTCTCCCTGGCCTCCTCCCCCTTGCAGCAGGTTGTTGAGTTGAGGCTTTGGAGCAAAGAGAGCTGGGGTAGGGAAAGCCCCATAAATAGGCTACCTGCGGTCTCCAGACCCTGGCAGTACGGGCACCAGGGAGCTGCTAGAGAAAGAAGCTGTACTTAGTCTCGCCTCTGTCACCTCTCCAGCTTGTACAACTAAATTTTAGTTTCCTCATCTCTTAAAACAGCCAAAAATGTCCAACATGTCAAACGGTATTTAGTTACAAATTATCATTGTAAGAGCTGAACAAAGAGGCCATGTAATAAATACAATACCCCAAGATTTCAGCAACTGGCATCAATCTAGGAACAGGAAAGCGGACAGAAATAGCTGCCAGCCTCCAAGGAACTAGCTGGAGGCTTTCCTGTTCTGCTTCCCCTGGGTCCAAAATGCTTCTTCGCCAGCATCCCCTTTCTTGCCCTTTGTGTTCACACTGGGGCAAGAGTGCGTGCACGCTCCTGTGCTAGACTCTGGCACTTCTCCTCCCTGGCACTCAGTGAGTGTCCTGTTACCTGGAGGTGGTCCATCATAGGCTCTTGGCCACTGGGATCAGGAATGGGAGCAAAACACCGAGTTGGGCAGGATTTCCCACATGAGGCTTTCCTTTGGAATCTTTCTGAAGGTTGCCAGTTGCACGTTTGTTCCTTCATTTGCTTTCCCGTGTTGGCATCCTTTGGCTTTGAAGGTGAAAAACCCAACTGTAGAAAACTAGGGCAAACTCAAGAGTCAGCTCTTCCTGTTTTCTTCCCACCAAACTTCACTGATGGAAGTTGTCTCATCACTGATGGAAAAGCTCCAGTTGAAAGCTGAATGAATACTGATTACCTCAGATGTGCAGTGTTCCAGAATGAGTGCTTGACTCACCTGCTGTTATGATTTGTGTCTAGTTGTCCTCCTAAAGCCTTGTGCAGTCATGGGTCATGGTTCCGGAGTTTGTAATTAATCCATGAGCCAAGGCTTGGATTACGGGTTGGAGTACTGCTGGGGTTAAGGGTGTGAGTGCTACACCTATCCTGGGGCAGACAGCCTGAAGGCCATACAAGGAGGAGAGAGACTTGCTCTCTGCAACCATTGTTTCTGCTGCTCCTCCCATTTGCTCTTGCTCTTTTGCTATTTTCCACTGCCATGAACTGCTACCCTCTGCCATGTGCCACTCTGCCTTGGAGCCAGCTGAGGATGGACTGAAACCTCCACTAACTGTGAGCTAAATAAGCCTTTCCTTCCTTCATTTTGGGTGTTGAGTACATTGTCCCAGCAATGAGAGAAAAGTAACCCAGAAACCTTCCCAGACTTTTTCTTTAGGAATCATCTCTGTGGATGATTCTGAAATGTAGAGTTAATCTAACTTAGAAAGGTTTAGAAGAACAGTGGGGTGGAAAGAGCTGCTGCTCAACTGTGGGCAGTGTGCTCTGCTTTGCTATATTTTACCTCTATCTTTAGAGACATTTCTGCATCATTCTGTATGAGACAGTTACATTCCTATCTTTGAATGCCTACCCTAGCTAGGTATTAGGGGGAAAGAAGACATGAACAAGCCAGAATGCTTAACTCTGGGGACTTACAATATTGTATAGGAGATAAACACGATGTGCAGGGCTACAATACAAGGTAAAAATGTGGAACATACTAAATGAGATCAGAGTACTATGGAAACAGAGAAACCATGATGGCTGTTAACGGGATTGTCTGGGAGGACTTGCTGACAGTGTCAGAAGCCAAAGGCTGCAGCTGGAAAAGCATCCTTCTGATTCCCCAAGTGCTCATGATCTTCGAAGCCTTCTGCAAAGCCTGCTTCCTTATTTCCTCTGCACAACCCCTACTTGAATTCGGAGGCACCATTTAATTGACACCCGAGGTTGTACTGAACAGTGACATGGCCTGAGGAACTTACCTGACTCCTAATCTGACAGACTCTGACTGTGTTGAGATGAGCTATGATCTGGCCATTGGGATTTTTAGGTTTCCCAGATGATTCTACCATGACATCAAGGGTGAGAAACTGGGGTCTACAGTCAATGCCTCCGGCCCAGGCATCACTTGGTGAGCTGGGGCTGCAGTGCTGAGGAGTGCTAAAAAGACTGAGACTCAAGAATAGCAAAGGGTTCTGTGCATTCCCTCAGATCCCTCTCCCAGAAGGCTGATCTGATTTGCCACCTAAGAGTAATCTGCTCCCAAACGTTCCTGCCCCAGTGTTGATAGAGCTAGGCTATGCAGAGAAGCTGCTTCCAGCCATGTGCCACCAGGTGATGCCTGTTGTGTTGAAAGACAGTTCTCCAAAGTTGCTTTGGACTTCTGAAATTTTTTCTGGATGTTCTAAGAGTACATAGACTTCATTACTGGCCAGCCCCTGCCTTAGACAGCTAAGTGGGTCCCATCTTGGAGTTCTCGTTCACTAAGTCTGTGGTAGAACCCCTAAATTTGCATTTCTGACAAGTTCCCTGTGGTGCAAGAAGCATACAGGGTTGTCCAATGTCTTATTTATGGTGCCCCTCAGTATTTTTGTGTTATCAAAAGACTTATGAAAAAAATCCACAGAAGCCTTGGAATTGGAAGCAGAATCAAGTGTGGACCTCTATGCTTTTTGTCCTAAGTACTCTGGCAAGTCTATTGTCCACCAAACTTTAAAAAACATCACCTTCATGACTTTAAGGAACAGTGCTCAACTGGGGATGATGTTGCCCACCCAGAAATAATTGACAACGTGTGAGGACAATTTTGGTTGTTAGTAAGGTGGTGGAAGGTGGAAACACTAGCCACCAAGGACAGGTGCTAACATACATGCACAGGAAAGCTTCCCACCAGAGTGAACTGTCCAGCTTTAAGCATTTATTATGCTGAACTTGAACTGGAAGAACGCTGGAGCAGATCATCATTTCTCAATGCAAGACTTATCCAAATTTACTATTATTATATATCTGGAAAAAATGAATGTATCACATGACTAGAGACCAGCAGAAGGATATTTAATCTCACATGAAATATAAAACATCGAAGCTCAATGTCATGAAGCACTGGGTAATAGTGCTTTTACAAATTCCTTTTTTAAGCAGAGAAAGTATGTGAAAGACAGAAATTGTGATTTGATAAAAAAGAGAGGTATTTAATCAAAAGATGTGACTTTACCCCTAAGATGAGTGTAAGGTGGGAGCCTGGAATTTCACTTCTGTCCCTATTCCTTACGAACTTCAAAACCAGCCAAAGAGCAAGGGAGATTCAAACCTTTTTAAAAGCTTCTGTCACTTCCTTTTTCTGTTATATCTGGAATGAAGCTTGACAGCAGCTTGAATTTCCTTTGGATGGCTGTTTACAGACTGACAATGTTGTTGCACTCTGTTTGCTTTAGGGCACTATCAGCAGAAAGGAATTCAGAAAACACGAGCTTCAGATGTTCTTTTAATTCCTTCAAGTCGGCTTAGCTTCTAGAGCTGACTTTTCTTACTTCTATAAAATCCTGGTAGAAGAGTAAATGGTGTGCTCAGACTTCAGCCCTAGATTTAACCAACACTTTCCATAAGCAAATCTGATAGTAGTTTATTTTGATCATGGGTAACCAGGGCTGTGCTTGCCCCAAACATCTTTGATTTCTTTGAAATGAAAGGAATAATTCTCACTGTGCAACAACTCACACAGTGTTCGGCTGCTGTTGATGCTGGCGACAAGGGAGTTGTTTTGAAGACTTTTTTTTTTTCCTAACCCACGTAGGATCATCGGAAGACTTTTTTTATCCTTCAAAGAAGTTAGTGTGAAAAAGTAAACGCCACCAACAATCTGTCAGCATAACAGAGAAGAAAACAGCCTCCCACAAGGGAGAGGCTTCATTTTTTTAAGAAAAATTAATATTTAACTTACATTTAAAAATCAAACAGGGACTGCC